GAAATGATTTTTTCGGATTCTAATTAGAAAAAAAACACATTTTAATTTATATATTTTTAAAAAGGAAAATCTTTATGAATATAGTGTTTTAGTTTGTTTCATTGTTCAATTAAACACCCATAGTTCACTTGGTTCACAAATACATGCATCTATATCCAAGGTCACGAGTTCGATGTCACATGGTGATACAATTTTGCAATTTTTTCCAATCCTACAATTTTTAATTCAAAACGGAAAACCTATCTATATGAATATATTGGTTTCGTTTGTTTCCTTGTTCGATTAAACATCCACAGCTCACTTGGTTTGAAAATGCACATATCTAATTAGAGGTCACGAGTTCAATGTTCAATTTTGCATTTTTTTCTTATGATTTTAAGTTGGTTTTAATTCCCTAAATCTATGATCAATAAATAGTGATATATAAGGTGACTCTTACGTCTTTATCTATTCGCTGACAGCAACTGATTTTTCTGAAGTGCTTAGGCACAACAGTTCCTTTCCTCTACTCCACTATCAGAGACCTTCTTTTTAACACACCTCGAAGAGGAAGCAGCCGTGTCTTGTACTTTTAGAGTAGCAACATCACCAACAACCTCGTTCTCATTCTCCATCTCGACCTCCTCCACCACATTAGGATGCAAAGGCTTAGGAGGTTCTGTAACTTGCCAGATATGGTCACTCCAGTCTTTTCCTGAGGTAATACAACTCATAATGCAATCAACTTGTTTGTCTATCATTTCGCCGATCCGTCTGAACTCAACAACCTCCATTATATAGAAATTCCCAGTGGAAGAGATGTATGGATACAAAACACCCTACAATGAAGTTAATGTAAGTAAGATTAGTATCACAGTGATATACATATGTAATTTGCAAGCACACAAGCAAAAACCAAGCCCAAGGAAACTTTATGTAAAGTTTGTCTAATAATAGTCTTCCAAGAAACCATCAAAACATCAAAACACAGAGCAAAAAAAGCAAACAGTTCACAAGTCTTGGATTTTACCACCCAGGAAGCTAAAAATTACAACTTTTAATCAGAACCAGCGAAGCCGTTTGTGGAAGGTGGAATCGCACAGTTAGATTTGTTTAGGGTTCAAGAGGGATGGAGTCTTCAAAGTGCGAAATCACAGAACAAGAGATTGAAGTTAGGTTTTTATTGCTGTTTTTGTAAAGCTTANGAATACAAGAGTTTTGTCTAAAGAGTTGCGGATCCCCTTCTAAGAGGGTTTACATTTGCTTATATAGTCCTAGGTCAATGAAGTCACCCTAGAAAAATAAGGAAGTCTTCCTTATCTTCAAAGTCGGCTGCGCGGAGTGGGCTGCGCCGACCTGCTCGGCCCATCTCGCCATGTCTTGGGCTTGGCTTGTCTCGTTATGGACTCTACTAGTCGACTTCATTTCGAACTTGTCTTTCCCTCCAAGTGACATTCCCATACTTGACGGGCTTAACACCACAGCTTCGTCGTTCCGATAGCATTGTCATGCCGCCGCCTCGTCCGGTAAGCCACTTCGTCGGATACTGGATAACCGAGTCAACCAGTCGTTTCCAATCTGGTTTTATACTTAGTCGTTTTCCCGGTTTGATCTTACCGGGGTGGAATCCGACCCCCACAGTTAGCCCCCCAGCTCGGTAGTATCAAGTATAATGGTACCGAGGTAAGAAGTACTGCAAGTGTAAGATCAAAGTCCGTCCGTACCCGCTTCGCAGTAAGAATCGGAAAACCATGTCGACTTAAGCTCCAGTGATTTTGTGAACTGAGCCTAGGACGAACGTTGTCCTCTGAGATTGTGTGACACCGAAGTGTGTAGGATCGTCGGGTTTGGTTCGCCGTGGAACCGAGGTGACAGAGAAACTTGCACCGCCGAGGTGGGAGAAGTCTATACTTGCAAGATTCGGACGAGGTGACGACGGAAGCTCGTGCCACCGAGGTCGATTCGATTCAGAGGTGTCGAAGCAATCACTGAGGCTAAGGGGCTGTCGACCGAGGTTGATCGGAGAAGACGCGGTGGTTTTGTTCAAGAACTTTGGCGGAACCGAGGTGTTTGAGAACTTAGGCGGAACCGAGGTGACATCTTCTTTGCAACCGAGGTGATTTCGTTGTGAATCGTCTTGTCGCCGGGGTGAAGAAGAGTGACGCCGAGATTGGTCAAAGTGAAGCCGAGGTTGGAGAGAGAGAGAGATAGGCAAAACCGAGGTGAAGAAGAATGACGCCGAGATTGTAACTGGGTCGGAGTGAGACCGAGGTGAAGCACGGTGGTGACGAGGCGACTCCTCTTCTTCGACGAGTTTGACTTTGGTTCAACTGTCGCCGAGGTGAAGGAGAGTCGGACAAGTCCGAGGCGACGAGGAATTTAGCTGAGCCAAGGTGGTGAGACGTCGCGGATAGTCCGACGGCCGAAGTCGATTTGCATTGACAGCCGAGGTGCGACGCCGAGGCGCTAAGTGTTTTAGTTTGGCGTAGAACAAAAGTAGTGACTCGTCTATGGTGAAGCCGACGTGGACTCAAGTAAACTAGCATCACCAAGGTGGATTGACCTTGAGGCCGAGGTCGTCATTAGTGAAGCCGAGACCAAGTCGTTTTGGCGATGAGGTGATTTTTTGTAATGCCGAGGCGAGAACTAATTTGTTGTTAGACCGAGGTAAAAATTTATCGAGAGGAATGTCTGAGAACTCACATCCTTTGAGCCCATTGACTCGCTCCTATGAAGCTGGTCCGTCACATGCTTCTCCATACTTAGAGGATTTTGATGACTTAGGAGACGGTCCTTCGCTCCTTAAAAAAGTTATTTGTACACCTGGCTTTGATGCAGGTAGCACGACACATCCGGTTTCCCTTGGAATTTTGGTTGAGGAGGTATATGATGAGCTAAAGAAATCATTTTGTTCCACAATTTTTTTGTTGGGTTTTTTGATGATCACTTTGATTTACGGGAGAGCCATTGACTAATCCGATCAAACAAAATGAACTAGTGCCAAGACCAACGATCCGTTTGTTGGGTTTTAGGTGAACTTTTTTGGTGTACGGGCGAGTCGCCATTGACACGTCCACTCCAAAAATAGACATTATTTTTTGACAAGACCAACGACGTGTTTGTTGGGTTTCCAGATGATCAATTCGGTTTACGGACGAGTCCGCTCCATAAATGAACATGTTATCGCGTTGCGACCAACGATTTGGTTGTTGGATTTAGAATGATCATTCTGGTTTACAGAAATGTTTCAAATAAATATCTCCGTTCCTATAATGAACATATAGCGATATAACCAGTGATTTTGCTTGCTGGGTTTAAAATGAACATCTCGGGTTACGCGTGCATTACTCTTTGAACACACCCGCTCGATAATGGTCATATACAAATTTGTATAGCGCGCTTTGAAATCCTATTGAGGATGTAATAGTCAGATCTGAAGTATATGTAAGAGTTCGTTGCTATGGCCAGCAGCAACGAGAGTGAAATAAGACGTCTATTTTGTTTAGACTTAAGTAATCCGTATAGGATATGATTGAGATGCCTGATTTGTGAAAGTTTTAGTATTCCATAAAGAATGTGAGTAGGACGCCTGTTTTGGTAAGGCTTTAGTAATCCACAAAGGGTGTGAGTAGGATGCCTACTCCCTCCTTTTTTTTAAAAGGAAAAAAAGGAGGACAAGGTGTTATTAGTTTTGGCAAGGTAACCCCAATGGTCTCGGCTTATGTTGTTGAATCGAGGTGAAGACGAGGTAGACTCGAGACGTGGTAAGGCAGCGATGAGATTAGAGTATATTCGCCTCGCTGGGTTCGACGCGGTATGCAGGAGACGAGGANNGAGTTGACTCACCTTGATGGATTCAACGCGGTATGGGAGCGATAAGGTTAGAGTTGATTCACCTCGCTGAATTCGAAGNGGTGTGGCGGCGACGAGGTGAGAGTGGATACTCTTNGCTGGATTNGACGTGGNGTGGCGGCGACGAGGTGAGAGTGGATTCACCTCGATGGATTCGACGCGGTGTGGCGGTGACGAGGTGAAAGTAGATTCACCTCGATGGATTCGACGCAGTGTGACGGCAACGAGGTGAGAGTTGATTCACCTCGCTAGATTCGACGCGGTACGGCGGTAACGAGGTGAGGCTGGCGCGCAACCGAGGTGAGGCTGGCGCGCAACCGAGGTGAGGCTGCTGCACAAACGAGGTGAGGTTGCCGCGCAACCTAGGTGAGGCTGCCGTGCAACCGAGGTGATGCTGCCGCGCAACCGAGGTGAGGCTACCACGCAACCGAGGTGAGGCTGCCGCACAATCAAAGTGAGGCTTCCGCGCAACCGAGGTGATGCTGCTGCGCAACCAAGGTGACAGTGCCGCGAAGCCGAGGTGACAGCACCGTGAAGCCGAGGTGAAACTGTATAATCGAGGCGAGGCTGGACTCTTTGGCTTTGGTTACAATAAAGAGTTATGGATTTGAAATCAAGGTGTAGAGCTTTGTCAAAGTGTGGTCGAGCTGGATAGCGACGAGGTGAGACCAAGGTGGCAACGCGTTACAGCAGGGAAAGTCGACGAGGCTAGCACAACTGAAAAGTTATGCCAAAGTGAAAGTAAAACTGAAAAGTTACGCCGAAGTCGATCGAAGCCGAAGGAAGTGACGTCGCAGGGGTCGACATCGCAATCCTTGACGCTGATGCCGTTGAGGTCGCACTGCTCACCGCCTCGGGTTGTTTCACCTCGGCGTGCCTCAGTACGTTCTACCGGGTAGGCCTCGGTTGGTGCAGTATGTCTCGCGTCAGTTTGTCTTCCTGGATTGACCACGGTTGGCGCAGTACGCTCCGTGTCAGTTCGCCTTCTCGGATTGACCTCGGTTGGCGCTTCCTCATCGAGGTCGACGACCTGTGGTGTTCCGTCAATGGGGCGCGTATTCTTCTCGAGCGGTCGGGTTGTACGCCCTCCGTTGCTTTCTTCGCCTGTCTGGTGTATAGTGGCAGAAAAGTCTGAGTTCTGGGCGCACCCTCTGGTGTTGAGAAGAGGCTGGTTGGGATGAGTTGCTCTCCTAACCGCCTAAGCATGGTTTGGCCTCGGCCTCGGCCCGCCGAAGCGAGGGTGTCTAGTCTGTCGTTCACCAAGGCATTCACCCTCTCTTGGTCTTCCTACCTTTTGAGCATCGCGTCCACCGACGCCTTGATCTGGTTCAGCACTTCCAGTGCAAGCGCTGCATCCGTTGCGCCCTGGTTGGGGTTCTGCGTCATATCTTTAGCGATGTTAGCGTCGCCCTCCTTGTCGCCGGGATTGTCGGCGGTCTCGTCGACGCGGTTGAGGTCAGAGTTGTCAGTGCGTTCATCAGTCATCTTCGGTTCGCTTGTGCGGTGATTTCCTTGAGTAAGAAGATCTCTATTGTCCCCTTAGACGGCGCCAAACTGTGGAAGGTGGAATAGCACAATTAGATTTGTTTAGGGTTCAAGAGGGATGGAGTCTTCAAAGTGTGAAATCACAGAACAAGAGATTGAAGTTAGGTTTTTATTGCTGTTTTTGTAAAGCTTATGAATACAAGAGTTTTGTCTAAAGAGTTGCGGATCCCCTTCTAAGAGGGTTTATATTTGCTTATATAGTCATAGGTCAATGAAGTCACCCTAGAAAAATAAGGAAGTCTTCCTTATCTTCAAAGTCGGCTGTGCGGAGTGGGCTGCGCCAACCTGCTCGGCCCATCTTGCCATGTCTTGGGCTTGGCTTGTCTCGTTATGGACTCTGCTAGTGGACTTCATTTCGAACTTGTCTTTCCCTCCAAGTGACATTCCCATACTTGACGGGCTTAACACCACAGCTTCGTCGTTCCGATAGCATTGTCATGCCGCCGCCTCGTCCATTAAGCCACTTCGTCGGATACTAGATAACCGGGTCAACCAGTCGTTTCCAATCTGGTTTTATACTTAGTCGTTTTCCCGGTTTGATCTTACCGGGGTGGAATCCGACCCCTACACCGTTAAATGTTTATTTTAGACAAATGCATAAACTCATAAGCACTTATGAACAAGAGGAAAGTAAAAAATTTCTACTAGTTTGGTCCTCCATATGCATTATAGATTCGATTGATCAAGGTCTAAAACTTGTTTCGAGCTTATACTATTCCTTATATGCACCTCTATATCCAATGAAAAAGCAGTCATATGTAGGCAGCATTGAAGAACACTAAGAATTCATCAAAGGAATAAATGTGAGAATAAAACATACCTGTGAACCAAAAGAAGACTCTAGAGAGTTGATTTCTACATATGATATCTTTGCAATTCTTGACCAATTTGAACATCTCGGAAACACAATGCCTTCCTGAAGTTTTTGGCCTAACATAACACCAAGATCAGGAATGGCTTCCATAATCTAAATCTGCAACGCATATGTGAAACCATGCACATGATAGCTCAAAGGTTGCGTTAATTTTACCCTCGCTGTCTTGATCGATGTCACAAGATGATCATATGAATCCATACCCCATGGATAAGCTTGTAGCTTCCTAATGTCCATCACCAGCTTGATGTATGAGTGTGGTATAGCAACCTTCTCGTCATTCACAACTAACAAACTCACAATAATAGACAAGTACACCAAGCGAACTCTGTCCACACGCATCCAGTTGCGACATTCAAACATGTGTTTCTTCTTTATCGATAGTAAGTAAATACTCTTCCTACTCCTTAGCAACCTACTCCAGAAACCGTCATCATCTATCCATTCCTCAAAGTTTAAGTTGTTTGGCTTCACATAATTGAGACCAGTCACAGCGTAAAACTCCTGAAGAGAAAATTGAAGAGGCCTCCTAGCAAACACAAACCATAGCTCATGCAGTTTTGTAGTATCCAACTACTTACAGAGGAAACTGTGTACCAATTCGCCTGAGTATCCTAGAGAATGTTCATGTATTGCCAAGATATGCGCAAACACCGGATCTTGATTTACTTGCTCATACTCATTTGGCAGCCGATCTTGCAATTTCTTCATAAGAGACGTTTTGCAGCTGTTGTTGATCTTCATAACTTCAGGTTCTTCATTTTCCCTAAAAAAGCTCTTTGGCAAATCCAAAGTCATTCCTATAAAGAGTCAAGAGCAATTCCAAAGAAGAAAATATCAGAACTTCGC